ATATGGTGTATGGAGAGCAGAAGAGCCAATAATCATTTTTGGGGGTTGATGGTAAGACTAATGATATAAATATTTAATAATATAAAACAATGTTGGCTATGTAATAGTATACATGTGGTTATTTGTTATGAAAATGAAAAAATAAAAAACTTTTTATTAAAAAAAGAACTTTTTTGTGCAAAATTCAGCTGAAAATGTATAACATGCTAATCAGGATAGGGAGATCAGACCTCTCTATCTTTACTATCACTACCTGACACTAGTTAACTCATTGGTGTATTAAGGAAGTGCAAAGTTCTAACACCAAAGGCTTTCTCTCCTCCCCCCCCCCCCAAGTGAATTAGTTCTCTGACTGCTGAACTGGAGTATGAAATTAACCTAAGAAACTCTACTTTCAGAACCATTATGGACCCAAGGGAAATAAGCAATGGAAATATGAGACAAAGACGTTATCAGGAGCAGACCAGGGGAGAAGAGGAGACACAATTACTCAATGGTAAGGGGGCATTTAAGGAGCATGGATGATATATTTTGTTACACAAATTGGGGGATATCCCTGCTGTGGATTAATAATCTGGGGATTTTCGATTAGATCTTGGAAAAGTAGTACTATACAGAGATTAGCATTTTGGGAGCCTCAGCAAAAAACGTTATATTTACTAGAGAGCTATGTAGTGTCCCTCAAATGCTTTGGAATCCAATCCTAAGAATCTCCTGCCATTCCAAACACCTGATAAAAAACTGCAGTACTTGTAGTTAAAGGAATAATGTTTGTTGTATGTATTCTCCTTAATACAGATATTCATAAAGTAAGTGTAGGGGTGGAAGGGATTCAGGAACAGGAGATAATCAAATGTACATTAAAGTAATGGGAAAATAGAGGGGAGTTCTATCGATGTGGTTCTACAGAAGGGGTGAAGAGACAGTTCAGTCCAGACATTATGTGTGAGAGAAAGAGGCTGAAGACAATCCTTCCCTAATAATGTATTGTAGATGCAGATAGAAGAGTCCAGGGTTTGGCAAGATTCTGTCTATAGGTCTGAAATAATAAAGAACTCAGCTGGGAAGAATCACTGCATGTCATTCTTGGTTTTGGGCCTGACATCAACCTATGAAGTGGGGCAGAGAGGCAAGCAACCGATAATGATTGATTCACACATCAGTAAGAAACAATACACTATTATGACAAAAAAAGATCAGGAATTATGCATGAAGAGCAGGTGTGCCTTTAATATTTCAGACCTATA